GTTCTCAGTCTTTTAACCAGTTCAGACCCGGTTAATAATAAACTATTAAATAAGCTTTTAAATAGTTACGTGCTGTAACTATATTAAATAATTATAAAAAGTTACGGCAAACGTGCCATAACTTTTTATAATTATTGAATATAATTACGGCACGTTACGGCAAAGTTACAGCATCATTGGAACGATTCACCTGCACCTCTAGACCGGACCGAACTGGACCATAGATACTATTGGACTGGTCTTATTAGAGACCGACCCAACTCTAATATTGGTAAATATAGGATAACTTTCTCGTGATTTGTTGATCACGTAAATTGAATGTCGTATCATGATTGGTCACTTTCAGGTCATGTGCCAACTGACCAATCAAAATTTTTTATTTATAAACGAATAATAATATTGATTTTGTATATGTACTAACTAGAGTTGTGAAACTAATCTTCAATGGTGCACCGATGGTGCACCAGGTTGGTGCACCGAAACTCGTGCACCGATAGTGAACTAGAGTTATAGATAAAACTAATCTTTAATAGTGCACCAGTTTGCTGGTGAAATTAATTAGTTTCACCAACAACTCTAGTACTAACCAAAAAGCCTGAATTTATATAATACACGACAACTCAATATTAGAAGTTAGACTAAAACGATTAATTTAGACAGAAAATTTATAGTATACATCCCATTGCCATATAAAATTGTAATAAATGAATTTTTTTTATCAAACGTCAAATGATAAAGTTGTAATCCATAATAAAGCTATCTTAAATCTAAACCAAATAAATATTGTAGAACCGATTCATTAAAAAAAATTACGTCCTTAAATAATACTAAAAACATCAAATATGAACTTACATACCAAATGTTTCTTCACATCTAAGTAAAGCTTCAAATGTTGTAATCTATTTTAATTGTCCGAAGCGTAGCGAGGACTTAATGAGGGAGTAATAGACCAAATTTTGTGTGTGTTGGGTTCCGCTCACGTGATATCGAGCCAATCAGTGTTTAAAAGCATATAAACAGATCACGAATCAACCTGACGAGACGGTGACATATATTTTTAGCTTCTGTTTTCCTAGTATTATTATAAAATTACTGCGTATTACTTTTAAGCTCTTTTCTCAAACAAGTTAGCTACGTTTTTGTGAATTAATTAGAAGATTTAACACATATTTATTGTACATTACTATTTTTTTTTTAGCTTAAAAATCGTCACTAAGTGAGGTATACCCAGTTAGGGTGAATCCCAGAGATACGCAAGATACTTAAAGCTTCGTTCATGAAAAATCTTCAGTAGTATTATAAACGGCAGTTGTATTTTTTTTTTAAAAAAATTATTTTAGAGGGTAAAAGTACTCTAAACTGTATAAATTCAATTGTATAAAATTGACCAATCACGAGAATGTTAGCCTATATAACATTGGGATTTTAATGTCGGTGTCGGGATTTTGTGTATTAAGATTTAGTAAAACAATCAGAATTGAATACAATTTATAAAATATTATATTACTGTAAACCTAATATAGCCTCTATATATATATTCTGAGTCTTTGTCGGCCTATGCATATTCAGCCATCTCTAGGGCAGAGCCGGTGTTAAAAATTCGTTGTGCATGTATTGTTATCTGCAATATGCACAGAAAATAAAATAAAGTCCTGTATAAAAAAATTTTTTTGCATAATTTCTCCTGCCAGTTCTGATTGGGCATTTGCAAATGCCGTCTCTGATTGGACAAAGTAGGCTATGCCATTCTTCGTTTACCAATCAAGATCAGGTGTAACATAAAATTTTCAAAAAAAAAAATCGGAGTTTTAGACCTTTGTACTGTTTCAATGATACTTCTATCATTTGATTGAAAAGCAGGATTTTTCTTCGTCCAATAGGAACTAGGGGGAAAATTAGTAAACCCGCGTATTTGTCGGAATTTTTAACACTGGGCAGAGCTAAAACGACGTATAGTAAATGCCGGCATTCAATAAATATGCAAAATAGAAACTCTGAAAAATAATTATGATAAAAATATTTTAAAATACATTGTACGTACGTACGTATTTAAAATTACTATATAGTGACTTTGCAAGTAATACCGGAACTATAAGATATTGATACTGTAATCTTAACTATATATATCAGTATATACTACTTAAACCAACAATTGTAGAATTGATGATCATTAACAAGTTTAATATGTAATTCCACAATTCCACAAGAAAGCCATGGCTTAGATTTGTATTGTCCATTAAAACCTCCTAAATAACCGTTATTATATCTAATATGTACGTACTGTACGTACGTATTCGAAGTGAATATCGGATTACTTTTCGAAACGGAAAGCTCTCATGGATAATATGAACAAGCCATCGCTTTAAAGCCACAATGTGGAGATATGTTGCCGCATAAGTTACGTACGACTCTGAGAAATCTTAAATGCATTAAGAGTACGTATAAATATACTAACAAAAATCTACGTAGCCCACTTTAAATAATAGCATAAATAATAACCTAAGGAAAATTTATTTAATTGTAAAGTTTACATATGAAACCCCCATTAACAATAGTACACGCATAGAAATGTATAAATACATAGCATAATAATAATGATAAACTTAAATATACATAATAAAGGGAATTTATATTTCCACGCCTTTTTTTGATATTGCCACACCTCTAATATCACTCTATCTCAAACCCTAACCAAAACCTTAATAATTTATATTGATTTTTAATATCATAGGTGTGGCAATATCAAAATAAGGTGTGGAAATATCAATTTCCCATAATAAAAATACACATAAATAAAAATATAAAAAAAAATTTTTTAAATACCCTTTGGTAAGGTTGTCTCGGGACTAGGGATTGAACCCGGGTAGAAATTGTTACTATACGATTACCCGAAATATATAATAACTTACCCGGTAATTTAATAATACCCGGGTAGAGATTTTCTCAACGGGTTCAATCTCTACTCGGGACACCATTGACGTTAATATAAATAAAAACATATTAGTGTGTATAGTTTGTAATAGAAAGTAACCATGGATATGATAAATGATGTGATCATAGCACGGTGTTATAGAATTTTTGAACAAAAAAATGGTTCATACTAAAATATCAAAGTAGAAATAACAATGAAAAAAGTTGATTCTATTGTCCTAGTGTAGAATATTCATTATTCATAACACTATGCAGGTTTCTCTTTCCTCGATTCTTAGGCCTGTTATGGCCTCCATTTCTTCAGCAACTCGTTCTCGGTCGTCGTCTTTTTGTTTTTTGTGAACTTCTTTTGGGAAGTAAAGGCCTAAGAAATTCATCAAACATACGTCCAAGTTGCCTAATAAAACCATTTCGTTATTGAATTATCAAAGAAAAGTAACGTCTCGATAGCTGAATAAGTGAATACTTGTCCTGTACATACTTGCTTCAACATTGTACAAAGCATCCTTTGCCCGACAAATTGGACAATTGCGCATACCTTTACGTCCAGATTTGACCAGACATCTAACACAGAATATGTGCATGCAACAAAGACGAATAGGTTTCCAGGCGATATCTATTAAAATAATTTATTTTGACATGCATCAAAAATCTTTTGTCAAAAAAAAAAAAAAATTTATGGAAGGTTTTGAAAAAAACTTACTTAAGCAGATAGGACAGCTATAATCGTCGAGTTGAGGAATAATGGTCGTTAATTGCTCCTATTTATACAAATTATATTAGTAAAACATTATTATTTAAATAAATATTTTCTTGAATATTTTCTTGAATACACGTGTACCATTTCATAGCAGAGAGATTTGAACTCATTTTTCGAGAGAGGCAAATACTTCTCTATTAAACAATTGAAGTTTGAATAAGAACTGAAAAAGATCGATAATTTAGCTTGGTTTATTTGCAACAGTAATTATTATTATTATTATTAGATCGATATAGTGAGCAAAGCTTACACTAGAGATGTTTTCTTGTCATGCTTTTTAATGAGTTTTGATGTCGCCTTTTGGTTAATGTCTTGAAATTGTTTCATTGAAACAAGGCTATGATTAAGCTATTACATCATTTTGAATAAAATGTAAAAAAGTGTTAGGGCCATCGTCACGTGATAGATGTGATCATTGCGTGTACATACCTTCAAAAATATCTCAAAAGTAGTTTTGGATAACGGGTGTTTCAACCTTTTAACCTATAAGAAAATATTATTGAATGGCGTGCAATTTTTTTTATACAATGTCTAAACTATTTTCAGAAAATAAATTTACCAAATAAGATTTGTTAATTCTATCAATGAAAGAGGTTAATTGATTTTGAGAGAATTCCCAATTTCTTTCTTCTCTATCAGATTCGGTATTTCCAACGAAAATTTTGTTTTCTGTATAAATTTGAAATATGTTGCGCCAAGTATACATATCATTCTTAAAGGGTGATGTCTATTTAAAAGTAGTAACTTTATGTAAATTTACGTCTTTGATTCGAAATTAACTAAAATTAGCAACTTACAACTTCAATCAACAATTCTTTTAGGTTTTTTAAGCTAGCAAGAAACTTTTCTTGATTTCGCTTTTGAAGGAGATTTAGTTGATAAATCTCCTTCATAAGCATAATAAAAAATTCACCGTCAGCTTTAAGTTCGATGTGTAATGTCCTATTATTAGAAATAATTTAGAAACCATTATAATAATCGTGAAATAGTATTAATATAGAAATTGTTATAATAATAACCTAGAAAGCTGACTTTTTATCATGTAAGATGCTTTATAGTCTACCAAAGGGGATAACTCCATATTATTATTGTTCGGAAGGTTTAATGGCAAAGATGAAATCGAATTATAATTTTTAAAATGCAAGGGTTCTTCAAAAGCACGTCCGTGGCAGTTTGGGCAGACTTTAACACATGGACGAACACAAACTGGGCCGTCTATATTCGAAAATAAGTGTAACTTTATTACCTATTCGACCTATAATATGTTATTTTTTTAAACAAACCTTCGAAGGTGCATTCAGGCTTGTAACATTCAAAACTATACTCAATTCTGTAGCCTTCGTTGGCCATAATTTGAAGTACGCCTTTAGCATTTAGTTCTTGAACAATTGCTTTGATACATCTTTTGAGAGTTTTGTATTGAATAAGGAAAGGTTTCCAATCTGGGGGGAAATTTTCCAGACTACTTTCTAAAGCTTTGTTGAATTTCATGTTTTAAAATTTCTAAACGAATAAGGTGATGTATTTATTTAAAGGGATTGGCGAAATATCATTTTTTATCTCGCCCTCTTTTTTTTTTGTGGCAGATAAAAAAACGATCAACTATAATTTAAGACATTCATTTACAAGAGATATTTATTAAAGAAAAAAGTCGGAAAAAAAAAGGAATCGCAAGACCTCACATGATTACTTTTTTTAGACAATTATGATGTGTTTGGCGCGAATTTAGTAATACAATTCCTTTTTATTAGTTACTATAATAGGAATTTGTGACCTTTATGACAAATTTGGTTTGTTTTTTTTTAGCGTTAGGACTTTTTGTTTTAAATGCATTTATTGTGAATTTTTAATTCTTGCGTCTTCAACAAAATCAATTTGAAATTAATAATTCACACATTTTTTCAATAAACAAGGAGAGGGCGATCCAATGACGTAATTTATACAAATATATGTTGATACAATATCCACACTATATATATTATATATTATTATCAATTGTCTGTGAAGTAAATTATTTTCTGCGATGTTACTCAAACTTTTCGGGATAGCCCAAACCATGTGATGATAGTTAAGCATTTAATGCATTTATATTGTTGAAGCCGTGTGGAACGTATATTTTTGGTCCAATATAAATGTAACATTGCTAATTTGCTAATGGCGGCCACACATATTACCAGATCTCCGCAGTAGCATAATCTTTTAATAAACAAAAATGTATATAAATAAAATTGTATATAAATAATAACAATAACTAATTATTTACATACTTATGTACGTACATACATTGTGGCAAAAAAAAAAAATCCAATTTCCAAAACCACTATCAAATTCCCATATCAAATATCAAGTGCCGAGGGGGTCTTCGATTTAGAGCTCTATATTACGTCACGAGCTCTCCGAAGGGCATTTCTTAAAGGTCATTAATGTTAGGGTTAGGGCGTTTCGTATAAAGTTAAGAACTTAAGTGGTTATATAGTAAAATCGCACAAGAAAAACTTTTCGTTAGAGCACTAAAGGTGGTTTATTATGCAGATTTTTGAAAAAGAAGGATTTTTGACAAAACGAACGTTTGTTTTGATCGTGCTACGTTGCACCTGATTTTCGAAATCTGATTTGTAGACCATGCATAACCTGGAAGTGCCTCTGAAGGGTATTGTGGAACTTTATCGCAGTTTATTTAATATCAAAATTTTGTCGTGGGAGCCTTTCAAGATCAGGTGTACACACATAAATACCAAACCAATTAATTACGTAATAAATATAAAGCTATAAATAAATTCTATTGCAAAAAAAATTTTTTTTCTGTATTCAATTATAACCAGTGTAGAAATCTGAAAACATCAATTTTCCAATTTTTTATTAATAAACATATAAAAAAAAAATTTTTCTGAGAACATTAGATTTCCTACTATAGCGGTTTGCAAAAAGGTGTGACCCACGAATTTCGTGATAACGATAGCGGGGAATTTCGGAAATTCTAGATTTTCTATCAACCATATATTCGATTGGTGATATCTTTATCTAATTTCTCGCAATTTTTTTCAGGATTTTACATTACACGATGATCTGCAGAGGTTGCAAACTGTAATAAATGCGGACGGATTCTTGATTGCAATCGAAAAAATTAGCCAATTAACAGTTAAAAGTTCCCACGAAAAGTCTATAACTATTATTATAGCACGATTTGCACAAATATTTACGGGCACCAGCGCGGGATTTTTTAACATGATAACATCAGATGAGGTCTGTGGCGAACTTTCATTGCGATTACCAAATCGATTTCCTTAATATTTGATCTTTATTATCGTTATGGCATGATCTTATATATGTTGTAAGTGGGAACGAAATTTAAGTGGATTTGGAATTTCTTGATAAAATTACAATTTTAGGGTACATCACTTTCATATGGGCGGATTTGTATATTTTGGCGATATTTTCGAATATGATTATCACAATTTGTACCAATCAGATTAGTAAAATTTGTGACTATTGCGAATTTGTCTTACATTGATTGGTTGATTTATTTAGAACATGTATAATAGTTAAAATGCTATTTACTTTTACAACACCCCTGCGTTTTTTTCTTTATTATTGCGGTTTGAAAATTTGTATTTACACGCAACAAGATCTTAATTTCAAAGATCCTGAAATGGTTTTTTAAGATCCAAAAATAGGCAAAACTTTCACTAGTCGCAATGCCAAAGGTTTGTTTATTATTATAATAGTTAAAATGCTATTTACTTTTACGAAGCCTCTGCTTTTTGTTCTTTAATATAGTGGTTTGAAAATCTGTACTTACGCTCAATAAAATCTTAATTCATAGATCCCAAAATAGTTTTTCAAGATCCTAAAATGTGCGAAACTTTTACTGGTAACAATGTTGGAGATTTACTACGTAGAATTAGAGCATTTCAATATATGATTAGAATGATTTTTAAAAAAGTTCACAGCTTGATAAACTGTAGACAAATATGAAATAGCTAATTAGAGATGTAAAGGACGATTATGATATTTAGCGTAAATTAAAATTTTTAATAAAAAAAAAGCTTTATAAGTATTCTACGTATTTTTTTATAACGATTTAATATTTGTACTATATAGAACTATTAGATAGATATAATACTGCAGTATGTTTGGGTCAAATAATAAATAATATGAATGGATTATTTAATTCATAATATTTATAAATCAAAAGTATGTAGTAATAATGCGTTGTCTTGTAAATATTCTTGTAAAGTTTCTTGTAAAGTTTCGTTAATATTACTTGTATGTTAAATTTTTAATTAATTTAACAATTTTATTGGTTAATCTATTTTTAGGTATCACGAAGATCACATTCAAATTCAGGGGGTCCGCTAAAGCGGGGTAAATTCAATATAAGGATTTACATACTGCATAATTGTGTTTTTGATATTTAAATAAAACATCTACCCTAACTGCATCAAAAAAGTAACTTTTTTAATTGCCCCGCTTTAGCGATCCCCCAAATTTAGGTGACATCCCATATGTTACGAAAAACATGTTAATGTTAATGCTCCATATCTAATACGGTTTAAAAAATTGATAAACCATTTTTTTTTTATAATAAAAAAACTCTCCGTCACTATTTTCCGTAAGAACCGTAATCGATTTAAAATCTTCGAAACAGCTAATCGTTGGATAGCTATCTACTTGGTAAACTTTAAAAAAATTTTTAACCAATTAAATTTATACAAATAAATCATGTGATTATAAAGTTAACCAATAAAATTACTTAAAAATATGTAAAACTAATCGTAAATAATATACAAAGTTGGTCCATCTAAAAATTTGGTCAATTCAGATAATTATGATTTCGAATGCTAAATGCATAGAATTTTCGTTTTAACTTATCGACCATATTAAATTAATTTGTCTCCATTAGTGTTTGTAGTCGATAAAATTTTTATAAGCTTAGTCGAATCAATTAAACTTAGTCGGCTTAGTTGACTATTTTCATAGGCAGCAAACTACATATACGTAGGGTTGTTAATGGAGTGCTCCAGTTAGGCGAGGTCAACTTGATTTGGTGGTTTACATTACATCCAAGGGATGTGAGAGAAAAATGGAATGTATATGTATATCCCAAAAATTTTTTTTACTAAGAGGGGGGTAATGTAAACCACCAAATCAAATTGGTCTGGCCTTAATAATAAAACATATAACCCACGGTTATATGTTTTATTATAGTTAACAACCCTTACATATACGATAAATGCGTTATCAGGATCGATTTATAATGATTTATTTAAATCTGCTAGTGATGTTCATCATTCGATATGTTGCCTTTTTGATGCAAGTATATTATTAGTATCAATTTATTTAGAGCTCCAAGTGACTCTTCATATTTTATTAACATTCGGTAAGTCTCTCCACGATTTCTTAATGCTTCTGCATCATTTGGATCCAACACTCATGATTTGCCTAAATCTGCAGTGATTGTTCATCATTTGATGAGTCTCTTTTATTGGGTCAATCTTTAATGATTCATTTTAAGTCTAAAAGAGTTTGTTCATATCTATCTGTTATATAACAGGTTACCCCCACGACTCCCTAATGCAATTGCATTAATTTTTCTCGATCCTTTTGGATCAGTTTTTAATGATTTATTTAAATTATTATCAAGTAATTTCTTATATTCGCCCATCTTACAATAAGTTGCCTCATGACATCTCAATAAGAATGCATCATCTGGTTCAATTTCTAGTGATTTTAAGTCTGCAAGTGCTTCTTTATACCTATTTATAATGGTTAAGTTTCAATTTTTATACTAGTTAATAGTCGATTAAGCTGCTATTTTTTAAAAAAACTGACTTAGTCTACTCAGTCAGCTAAGTTGACAAATGCTATACCAACTTGAAACACTATCACAACATCATAAGTTCTTACCTTTCGTTTTTTTTCACAAATTTAAATGATAAATTTAAACGACTTAATAATGATTAATGCTACTAATCGAAATCCAAAAAATAATTTTGACGAATCTCGACGAATATTTATCAAATGTTTATTTATACTTTGAGAATGATTTTCGACAAATTTCGAAAGGCAAATGAATTTCAATGACCATTTATTAAGAGCTTATATTTACGAATTCTAAATGATTTTTTACGAGGTACTTTAAGATCCATAAATTTTTTTGTCACTTCGAATAAATGATCAAGTTTGTTAAATAAAGAATCATTTCAAATAAATTATGTACAATAATTTGACCCATTTTTAAGAACATTTATTGAAAATAATTTTTTCCCTACATACGACATACAGGTATATAAGCTCTATTTACTGATATATCTAATTCTATTATTTCTCCGTTTATATTATCGGTAGATGATGTAGCTTGTGTATCGGAGCCAAATATAAACAAAAAAATTAGCTAGTTCGGAGTGTACACATTCGCCCAATGATATCTGTTAGTTTTTACTATATTTAATCCCAGAATAACTACGTCACATATCAGAATATAGAATCGATCCGGGATTTACATTCTGCTCGATTGCAAAAAGTAAATATCTCCGCACTTTTCTTAATTGCTACTACTGTTACGACAAGGGAGAGACTTTACTATTGCACTGCCAATTCAGTTGCTGGTCGTAAACATTAAATATTTATTAATGTGAACAAGTAACTATAGAGCAGAAGGTATTTCTTATTTATTTCGGTTGAGAAAAGGAAAATCTACCTTTATTTACAAAGAATAACCCTATTTATAGTTATTCCATTAGCTAAGAAAGTCATTACGCAAGAATAAGGTAACTATTGTAACAATGCGAAAGTGTAATCATAGATACTAAAGTATGTGCGAAAGTTTAATAAAGTAACTCTGATGATCATTCGCATACATAAAAAATGGAACTAAATCCACAGGTGCCATTTTACATCTCGATATTAAATTTAGATTACGGTATTTTTGTAATAACGCTGGTATTAAAGTTAGTTACGACATTTTGTCGTAACACTACAAGCTTCTTTTTTTTTTTTCAACAACCACAATGACCCAAACTCCATCAACACGATGACCACGATTGTACTTCAAAATAAAATCATTAATTTCAACGATCATGTCCGGTCCACCAATTCATGGACTTGTGCTTCTTGGGTGAAATGACTAATAAGCGCTCTAAAAATAGATGTATGGATAGAATCAGATAAAACTTTTTAGTGATGAGTTCACTCGCTAATTAATGTTCACAACACTTGCCTATAATAATTGATATAGTCGGTTACTGTGCTTCGATTATAACACTTAGTGCTTCAATGTTGAATATGGTTCCTGGCTTTCTTTTTTATAAAAAAATAGTTTTCATGTCTAGTCTTCTATGTATTATTGATTTGGCTGCCGTGAAGGTTATATACTCCATTATATATCTATTTTCGTGTCGGCTTTTTTTCTCACATAAGGATACTTGGTTTCAGCTAAAAAAATTAGCTTACTTGTCCTAGTCACTTCGCAGAGGTGTATCCCACGACTAGGTTTTTAACAACCCAAGAAAACTCCAATTGATAGAGTTAGACACTAATGGAGAAAATAAAAATTAAAGAAATAAATATTGACGTTCATTATGGGCAGTGGCAGAAAATAATTATACAAAAATCCCGAAATCTTCGTAGATATATAATAAAAATATCCTGATCCGTTGGGTATTAGCGGAAACGAAGTTTCCGCTCGTACGCATACGGATCAGAGTATTTTTGCTCAATACTCCATGATCTTGATATAGTGATCGGAGTATTTAGGAAAAAAAAACTGCTCTAAAAAATATTCCGCAATCCTAACCAGTCATTTATTGTTAGGTCTTATTCGCTCCTATTCATAGACCGACTGAACACGAAAAGGGTGTCGGCGACTTATATCTTTGTGGGTACTTTTTGTTACAGCGAGCGCAATAAAACTCATTCCTGCCGTCGTAACCTAGACCCAGTCACCCGCAGCCAAGACCCTACAAAAAAGAGAAAAACTTTACGTGTTAGCAATATTTTCTGCTGCCAACTATAGACAACGGAGTAACATACCATAATAATTAAACCGAAAAATATTTTTACTCGTGTGAAAATCAAGAAAACAAAAGATGAAATGTGCGAGAATTTATAGATAATCTACAGCCATGCCCGAAATTTAATTGGTGTTTTTGATCTACTATGGTTTTGATCTTTATGTGGTTAAATAATTAGTGTTTATGATCAAATACGGCTTTGTGATCTAATAAGGCTTTGATCTTTATGTGGTTATACAGTCTACCCTATCAAAACTGATGTTCATGATAGATAAATTTTGTATCAGTTTTAAAAGGTTATCAGGTTTAAGAGGTCTAATTGCTATATCAAAGTAGACATGGTTTTTAACAGGTTATTAATCTTGATAAGATCGGTTTTGACAGGGTATTTATGACGATAATTATCTAATGCTAATTTTTTGTGCGATTAGTTGTTATGTGCTTTTAATTAATTTTATTGGTTAACTCTATAACCACATGATTTAGTAATCTTTTTTTATTATAATTATTTAATGATTAATTTCTTCTAAAACTTTAGATCAAGTAGTTGCCAACTTGGTCAACTTTTTGATTAATCGCTTTTTAATTTGTGTTACTATATATATAAGTGTAAGAAAAAATCAGACTTTGTGAACTTGAGTTTATTATTAACTATTATTTGCTTATTTTAGCCCTGATCTAAAATTATATGGAATCTTTTGCTAGGAAAATCACCCTTCGAGATTTCCGATCTGGCTAATTCGGACAACTTAAACCAGAATACTGGCTCTTATTTGCATGTAAATCATCTTTTACTAGATTGATTCTATAGTTTGTTAAATAAACTATGAGATCAATAAAGTTAAAGATGGTTTATATGTAAATAAGAACCGGTATTCTGGTCTAAGTTTGTCCGAATTAGCCAGATCGGAAAATCTCGAAAGGTGAGTTTTCTAGCAAAGATCCCATATGATATGTAATTAAATTATCGCAGTTTCAAAGTGGTTAAAATAATAAATAATTTTTTTTGGCAAATACTAAGAATACTCGAATAATCAATTATCTTAGCGTATTTATTAAAGATCGATACTCACATATGATGTAATCGTTTACTAACAAGAACACGATTTGTCATATATAAAATTTTTCATATAAGGTCAAATGATTAATAAATCTAAATTTTATATATAAAATTTAGACAAAATTTGTTTCTGGATATTATTTTACGATTTATCTAGTATTCAAAAGTTGTTTTTATAAAATTTTAAAAGCAATTAAAAATAAAATAAAAAGTTGATTTGCTTTTTTTATAATTTTTACTATTTATTTATTACAAAATGCATCTATGATAGTTTTGCATCTATTATATATTTTTATATGTTCTTTAGATTTTTTAAAAAGTTTTAATGCAAAATTTTTACAATAGGGTCAATTTTTAGAGTTAAGGTAAGGGTTTAAAAGGTTTTTTTGAGATATAAACTATTTTTACTTAAGGCATCTTAAGTAAAAATAATTGTCTGAAGCATAGCAAAGGATCTATATTTTTACACTAAACTATGCAATATCTGTTAGCAATATCCAATCATATTTTTAAATAATATTATACAACATATATTTGTATATAATAGATTAAATAGCCCATTACAGGTATCTTTATTGCTTTAGATATTTATCTTTTTTTTTTTAATGTTAAGGTGACCCCTTTGGTCAGTACTTTTATTTATATTTAACAAGTTACTTTTACAGTATCAGTCCCACATCAACTATACATATATTTCTATATACATAACCTCAAACTAATATTCGTTACAACCTTAGAACAATTTTATTCTCAGGGTAAATCTGCTAGAGTTTTTCATACCCACAATCCAGCTAACCTAGACTTTCAGTAACTTATGCAGAGTTCAAGACAGCAACTTGCAACCCAAAGCCACTACCATTACCTACTTTTGCCTTCGTAGAGTTTACCCAGACCCCAGTATACACTTTATAGACTATCACCGGTTTTAATCTCAACAATCCCAAACTACCAATCTAGCTAGTTCAGAAGGGCTGTGATCTGCTTCTGGTCCCCACAATTGGGTTCTTTTCTTCTGGTTTTTTCGGTGGTCTAGTTGGTGAAGTGCCTTGCCAAACACTTCGGTCCTATTCAGTTTTGCCAGTTCTCTCGATAATAATCTTTTACGTAATATTGTCAAAGATCTATGCTACCTCTACTTGGGTTTTGCCAAGTGAGCATCTATCATCCTTCCCGGTTTCTTGGATTAATACGATCCGAAATCTCTTTCATATAACTTATACATCACACAAATGTTTCATAATTTGCCAATCTTTGTTGATGCTACCAAGGTTATAAAAATTTTTTAACCGACTAATCGACAGACGACAGTAGCCTTGGTACAGATAGAATTTTTCAAAATTCGTCGCCAATAGGTTTCGAATCTCTACTTTGCCAATATATCGCTTGGGGGTGTGACAACTTGACCACTTTACTAAGTAGCCATACCCTGCTTAAGATATTTATCAATTTCTGATATCCTAATATAATTATTTTATTTTATTTAATTTAAGTTATTCTATTAAAATGAAATTTTTCTAATTTTTAAGAAAATTTAAAATTTTTTAGAAAACACTTTTAGGAATTTTTTTAGTATTAATGTCAGGTTTAGGGTTAGAGTTATTAATAAAAGAGTATGCATAGATTTTATAAACTCTAAGAATAAGCAAAAAAAGTTTTCAATTTTATTTTAATCTGATTTCATTTTAATCTACAATATTAAGTATATATAACTTGTAAAATATATATATAAAATAAAGTGAGTTAATATAATTTTATAAATTATTTTTTTAATTTGGTGGTTCTGCTTTTTTTATTTTATTAAGAGTACTAGAAAGTTATTATTAACAGATAAATCTGGCTTTCTATATTATATCTTTATATTAAATAAAACTCACATAATTTTTTAGCTTAGATATGATACTACTTAGTAGCAATTTGCTTTATATTAGATTCTTAACTTTCTGAGAATTTGGTTCTTTTAATCATTAATTAGAGTAGTTATATACTTCATCAAGAAGCCAAATCAACAAAAGCACAAAAAAAAAATACAGAGATATAAAAAAAGATAATAAAATATACAAGTAAGAAAATAAGAGTGAAGAAATATTAAAAATAAAAAAAAATTTGTCTATTCTAATATCATATTTATAAGTTTGTAAAAGATTTGTAAAAATTATATACTACTAAACAAATTAGTTTCTACTTTAAATTCATCTAAATAGTATATAAGCTTTAAAAACTAGTAAAAAAAACTTCTTTAACTAAAATCATATAAAGAGGATAGTCTTGAACTGGCTTCAAAGACAAGAATTTATAGATGCCTTTAGAATGATCTACCCAAGAACCAGAAGATTCATATAGACAAACGGGAATACAAACACAAGAATAGATCAAATATAGATATCTGAAGAACTTGCATATAGTCTATTTGATGCAAAAATACAAGAAATAGATATTTATACAAATAGTGACTATGAGACAATGATAGCTAGAATCGACTTCAAGCATCTTAGTACTTCTCAGAGTATCATAGCATGCAGAAAGGATAAACAAATATGAACAGTTTTTCTTTGCGATAGGGCATCCGAAGAAAACTAAGAAAACTATAGAAAGCAAATAGATAGTCTACTAAAAAAAGTACAGTATAGCAAGCCTATTGAAGAAAACCTGACAACAAAGAAAAAAAAGCTCCAGAGTTAGATGAACTTTGGAATGATATAAGTAAGGCAATACTTATAGCAGCGAGATGCAACCTGCCAAAGAAGAAAGTTTGCAATACAGCACAAAATAAAAAGAAAAATACTAAAGAGTCCAGATTGGTCTATTTCTTAATGCAATTAG